TCAGGTTGCGATCACCCACCACTATAGTCCTATTGCAGTCTGGTGACACACAGTCTAATTCCTCACATAATATCCGTCTCTCCTTCTTATCTATCGGAGCATATACTATCGCTATCAACCATTCCTCATCGACTAGCAATAGCTTGACCCACGCCCATTTTCCCCAGAGGTCAACATAATGCTCAATGATCATAGCATCTAACCGTGTATGGATTAGAATTCCTACCCCTCCTCTCGTACCATGTGCTGGTGGCCACAGTTGTGGATCATCCTACCAATTTCCTAGAGTTTTCACTTTCTCCTCACTCAGCTTCGTTTCCTGCAAACAGATGATCTGAACTCCGTTCTCGTGTATCCAAGCCTTCAGCCTCTCCTTTTTGTGGCACCCTCCCGAGTCACCCAATCCTCGAACATTCCACGAGGAGATTTTAAGTTTGTCCGTTCACTCATCTTTTCTCATTATGTTGGATGGAGTGTGTTGCGTGAGAAGTGGGTGGTTGTTGTGGGGTGCTCGCTGACCCGGCAAATCCAACTGCTGGTCAAGTATGTGCATAGAAATGGCGATAGCAACTTCTTCTCCTTCAGAAGCTTTGCCTTAACTTATGTCATGAATTCGGTCGAACGCAGCGGGGGGACTCTAATTTTTCGGAGCTTATGTTTCTTCTTTTTTGCTAACCATATCACCGGTATCAAGCGGAGGCCTTCCTGCTCTAGGCTCTCTAACTCTCCACTCACGAAACGAACATCGAGTAGTGGTACGAAGAACTTGATCTTCTTCCCGTTTTGGGGGTTGTCAACTAGTAGCAGCGGCATCAGGATTTCCGGTACTATCATCCGAAAACGAAATTTATCTCTTATGGCAATTCGCACTAGTGTTGAAATCGTTGTCGGCATCGGTGTTTCCGATACCCCAGTGTGAGCAGATTTACCGTTGTATCAGTTGCTGTTCATCCGATGAAAAAGACTCCCCCTCTTATCACTGTGCGGAACAGTGGTAGAATATTCGATTCAATGTTGTCCTGTGGCCCTCTGCTCTTCGAGCCTAGTATGCCAATCTCATATGTTTGACCCAAGAGGTTTCGGATTGAGATGATGAACCTGAATGTTATGATATAAGATTAGACGCGATGCGTCCTTCTTGGCTCAGTCTCCTCTATTTGTCTGGTATCTGATTCCCCTGCCTTTTTTCCGTCTGACAATCCCCCTTCTACCCCATGTGCACCAGGGGTGTAGGGACCTTCACTTCTAGGCTCTCTCACTCTTGCGACTTCGCTTCATTCTTGCATACTGTCTCGCCCTTGTCCTGTGTCGTCGACCGGTTGCCATCCTCCGAAGCTCGGTTGTCCTCCATAGGGATGGTCGCCTACTCCGCTCGTCGGGGCATACGGTCCTCTTATGTGTGGGTGGCTGTATCCTTCAAAGAGGTCTCCACTTGATATGCCTTGTAGACCAATGTAGGCTCCTGGTGGGAAACCATAGCCACCTGGTGGGATGGCTTGGTCATACAGGCTTTGAGCTGCCCACGACATAAATGTTGAGGGGCTATTTACTGACTCAACTCCTGGATTTATCTGCTCCACTCCTCGACCTCCCTGCCCTGACAATATTCCTAGAGAGAAGATGGGGTTGATGCAACTGTGTGCCATTCGACTTGGAGATTGTCTTTCTGGTACTCTTCGCTCCCCTTCCGATAGGCTTGGTCTTGGCCCTAAAGAGCCTTGGTACCCCTATCGAGTGGCCGACGCCATCTGTGGAAGCCTTGTGAATGTTCTTGCAAGGGTCCGGATCGTTTTGTTGTTATTGCTGATTCCTACGATATTGAGCTTCCGTGTGAAAGAATGCCTTGCATCTTCTGCAGCGTGGAGTTTCGGATGAAGCGAGATTGACGATTAGGGTGTCGCCTTCAAACGTCACTACGGAGATCATGTCTTTCATATTCGCTCAAGCAGTCGGTTCCACGTCGAACTTGAGGTTAATCAGTGATGGTTTTAGGAGGTCTGACTCTGGTGGATGTGCTAGCAGCACTGGATCTATCGCCTTTTGGATTTGGGCCTCCGGGTAGAACATGGCATCCAAAGGCACTTGGACTGCTACCACCCAAAAGGTAGCGTCCTCCTCTATTCTCCTCTGTTCCCTCAATTGAGCCCTCATTAGCCATGGTTTAAACTCAAACACGTATCGCGTGCTTCCGAGGGTGATCTCGTCCTGTCCTTTATTCCTTAGCCATGTGGCTACTGCTGCACTTTTGGCGATGTATGAAACCACATTTGGACTCTCGACTTTCACTCTCTCTGGTCTGAATGTGCTTACCTCGAAGCTTTCGTCCTGCAATCGCTCATCTTCGTACGCTCTGACCACGTTGTCTTTCATTTTCTTCAGCAGGAACTGAGTGACTTCTCTGAAGATTACTGTGACCATGTGTTCTTGAAGCCAGTCCACCTTGGTTTTATCGATCCTCTCGTTAAGTTTGAATGTCACTTCTCTCCCGTCCACCGTCATTTCCCCTGGATTCACCGATGTTGACATGATCCCTTCTTCATCACAAAGTCAAGCGAGTTCCCTTATTCTGCTCTCGTCTTCGTCCAAAGGTTGTTCCGGAGCCGCTGGAGGAGAACGTCCTCCTTCTGTCATTGGCGTTGCCATGCCTCCCGCGCCAAACTCGTTCCTATGATACTTCTTCCTCAGTTGACTATGGTGACGCCAACCCTAATTCTTCTTCAAGGATGTTGTGGCCGTATGTTCACTTGTCACTTTGTTTCTTTAGTATGATGTTCATTGGCTTTCTCTTTGCACATCTTCTCCTCTAAACATCCTTACTTCGTGGGGTCCGAATCCGGGTGTTTGCAACTCCGTCCTCCATAGCCTGGGCTATATCCTCCTTCAAGGCGGATGGTATCGAACGTAGCTCCCGCCGCAGTCCTATCGCGCTTGTAGGACTTTCGGCTGAACACTCCTTCCATTGCCGGTGGCTCGCGCTTTGTCGGAGCACTCGGAAATTAGCGCCGGCGGAACCGCGTCGGTCGGGGGCCCCCTGGCTGTACTTCTGGCTAGGCCTTTTTTTTTTCTTTTTTCTTTTAAAGAAACTGCCCGGATTGGTTCTGGCGGTGCTGATATGAGCAGACACCACTAGAACCGCCGGGGAGGCTCCATCTATTGGTGGGGAGCAGCACCTGGTGGAAATCAGGTTTAGCGTCCCTGTGAAGTACAATGTGAACAAAGAATGCGACCATGAGATGTTTATGTACATGAGGGGAGTGGGCAGTGAAGCAGCCCAGATGTTTGCATGACTTCCTATGGTGAGTGATGATGGAGACGTGCCTTGACAGGCAGACTAAGCAGACATGCCATTGTAATTTACTGGAAGCCTCGTGATGTGGTGCCTAGTCATCCCAGCATGTGTGATGATGCAGACATGCATTGTGACAGTTAGATTAAGTTGACATGCTATTGTAATTTTACAGCACGCCTCGTGATGAAGTGGCTTATTTGTTAAAACCCTTAAACCGTAGTAGTCATCGTAGCATGACATCCTATGGTACGAGTGAAAACAAAATAACAACGGTCGAATATCATTCCAGCTACTTGCAGGTGGTCCAGCTGAAGGGGGGGTACCAGTCCCAGCTGACAGATTTCCCCTGCCTGTTCCCGCCCCCTCCACGGTCAGCAAAAATTGGTGCGCAGAGCATTTTTAGGCTCGGCATCAATAGCTGAGAAAGGTATTGGTGGTTAATTGCATATAGGTCTCCTGGACCCCTTAGCACATTTCAAATTCTTCATCAGATCAGAGGTGGAATCAGTCACACGCAAATGAGAAGAGAAAACAATCGGCTTCCATTCATGCTAAACATGGTGAGGATTTGTACCATTGTTTCCCTATTCCAATTCAAAGCAAGACAGAGCTCTGGGATGAGTAGTGCAAAGGCCACTCTACTATGGGCTGGTGACAAGTCTGTAAAAGCGCATTTCCAAAAAAAAAAAAAAGTCACGTTTTTTTTTTTTTTTTTTTTTTTTTTTTTTTAACTTCGTGTATGGAAAACCTACTTGACGAGGTGATAAGAGCATCCTCGGTACGTAGTATTCACTTTGTGGATGCTCCATGGCGGGGAGCAACATACAACCATATATATATAGCCACACGTATACACAAGGGTTGGGTGGAGGTCACATAGGGGCCAATAGGTGATTGCTTGAGCCTGGCGTCCGAAGTACCCGTACGGCAAAGGTCGTTCGACTATGCTTCAACCAGGACTAGGGTCGCTAGCCCTGGTGCCTGTCGCTACGGTTCGGTCCAAGTCCCCCTCGATACTGGTAGGGTGACGGTCCTGAGTGCTGGTCACACTAAGGTAGGATAGTAGGGATAGGGGATATGCTAGGAGTATTGACGCGAGGTTGGGATGGGTGGTGGCCTCGCCTTCCCAGAGCGACCAGGGAGGACTGCTTCCGACGATCAACGTGTGCCTAGTAATTGGCCTCTACAACACCCTGGACTTAAAAAAAAAAAAAAAAAAAAAAAAAAAAAAAAAAAAAAGCATCCCCGGTAAGTAGGTCCCGGCGTCGAAGGCTCCATCAATTGGTGGGGAGCTACACCTACTGGAAATCGGGTCCAGCGTCCCTGTACAGTAATGTGAATGTTCTGTTGGAAATGGGGTCCAGCATCCCTGTACGATCATGTGAATGACTCTGCTGGAAATCGGGTCCAGCGTCCCTATGCAGAGATGTATTGGTATATCCAACTACCTATGCATGCAAGTTAAGCAATCTATGTCGGATGGACCTATCATGTCCTACAGTCAGACACTGTCCAATCTGTCTGTCTTATCTGTTGGAAGCAATCTATGTCTGGTGGACTTATCATGTCCTACAGTCTGACACTGTTCAATCTGTCTGTCTTATCTACTGGAAATCAGGTCCAGCATCCCTATACGATGATGTGAATGAATCCGCTGGAAATCGGGTCCAGCGGCCCTATGCAAAGATGTATTGATGTCTACAACAGTACAACTACCTATGCATGCACGTTAAGCAATCTATGTCAGATGAACCTATCATGTCCTACAATCAGAAACTGTCTGTATATGTACATCAATCCATATAAGACAACATCCAATTTGTATATCATCATTCATCGATTTATACATTTCCCCTGAAGGGAAAACCCTATCCCCTACCCCAGCATAGGATCATAGTAAGCAGGGCATGAAGCCCAATTCTGTAAAACAATCCAGAAATCAAACCCTAACATCAAACCCTATTACCCAGAGTTGATGTACTGCATGTGAGCCGGAAGCCGAGTCCAGCATCTCTAAAGAATGATGTGTGTAGGTAGACCATATTTGCACTTGGTTCATCTGTATCACCAAAAGGAGCAGAGGCATTGATTACTTCCAACCCAGGGGAAGGATTGACCTCCTGCTCGTAAATCTTATATCCTCTATACAATGATGTATATACCTAKTAAATCTTACCTTCAACCTCAAACCCCACTTCACCAGCCGCAACAAGCCACTAATTCTCCCCCACTGTACTGATGGCGGCATCTTTCCCATGATGCTGATAAGAACCTTGGATGCAGAAGCACCACTCTCTGCCCCTTTGCCCCCATGGTTATCACCGCCACCGTCGTCGTACTTGTTGTCGTTCTTGTTGCCATTACTGTTGCCATTGTTGTTGTTGTTGTTGTTGTTGTTGTTGTTGTTGTTATCACCGTCGTTGTTGTTGACAGTGTCATCCTTCTCACCCTCCTCACCCTTTACCCCCAGTCTCTGATCACCATCGTTGTTCTCGTTACTGTTGTTGTTGTTGTTGTTGTTGTTATCCTCCTTCACGCCCGTCTGAGCCAGTTCTCTCAGTCGCTGCTTGCCGCCGTTATTGTTGTTGTTGTTACGCATCCCACCCTTCTCGTCAATCTCACCCATTCCTTGCCTGTCGTCATCACCCATCCCACCCTTCTCGTCAATCTCACCCATTCCTTGCCTGTCGTCATCACCCATCCCACCCTTCTCGTCAATCTCACCCCTTCCTTGCCTGTCGTCTTGTAGCGGACCTCGGGTTGGCCTGTGAGACCAGCCCCTTGGCCTGTTCTCACAGGCCTGTGTTACATTCGGGGTAGGYCAGTCCAGGCCGGTACCTCTGTCGGTACCAGCCAGTCCAGTCCAGTCCCGTCAGTCCGCTGGGGTATACCCCAGCCATTGTCTGTTTTCAGTCTCATTCCTCACTTGCACATTTTGGAGTACGTGCGTTGGAGTCTTGCGCGGGGAGCTGCGTTGTGCCATCTTGCTCCCTCTTCTTCCTCCATCTTCATCTTCGTCACTGGCGGAGCACCACACCTGGTGGGTCCGCTACATTGGTATCGGAGCGGGAACGGTCCCCGCCCCCACCCACCACACCGCACAACAGTGAAATACTGCAAAACCCGACGGTCGGGTTTTCGGCTGTTTTTGGGGCGTTTTCGGGCAAAAAAAGCGGGAAAAACGACGGGAAAAGGTGCTGCAGCAGGAGAGCTCGACGTGGCGAAAAAGGAAGCTGCATCACGACGCGTGCGCGCAAGCGCCGCACGCGCCCATGCTGCCCTGCTGCCCCGCCCCGCTCCCAGATTTATATTATCAAGATTCGAGATGCAACTTCTGCTGTTGGGGTTTGAACCCAAGCACTTATGGAGCCATGCGCGTGCGTAAGCAGCCTTATAACACACTCGCCACAATATGTCCATGGCTTTGTAGCACGGCACACTCGTGTTGAAGAGGTGTCATGCTGGCTATTTACCCCCCCCCCCCGGTGGCAGCGAGCAGTGCGCAGCAGCGAAGTCGCTGTCGGCAGCGAGCACTGCGCACCAGCGAACTCGCTATTTGCCCCCCCCCCAAGTGGCTGCTGCTGCCTGTGCACGTGGCTGAAGACCCCCCTGCTTAGGGGGCTGCTCTACAGTGGAGAGGGCCTGCTCACACAGCAGACCCCACATGTACACATCTGCAGAAGTGCTGCTGGGGGCTGATCAAGATCTCAGCCCCCTCTCTCCTCCAACTGGCTGCTGCAGCAAAGACCAAGACCCTCCTGGTCTTGGTGTACCTTGTGCCCTTGGAGACACCAAGGGCCAGGTATCACTCCCTTCTCCCCTCTCCCTCTACTAACCCACTCTCCCTACCTCTCCTCTCTCCTCTTACTCACCCCYTCTCTTTCCCCCACCTTCCACTGCATCTTTCTCTCCTCCTTTTATCTTCCCCACCCCACCTTTCTCCCAACACCCATTCTTTTACTCTCCTCCTTTTATTTCTTTCTTTTCTTCCTCCTTCTTTTCTCTTTGCTTCTTGATCCCTGCCATACACCCCTGCTCCACCTCCACCTCAAACTGCGGAGGCAGCAGCGGCGACGACAACGGCGAAAGCAGAAGCAAATACAACAATAGTAACAACAACAACATCAACAACAACAATAATGGAGGTGGAGCAGGGGTGTATGGCAGAGGTGGTGGTTGTGGTCCGCTACACGTCTACCACAACCACCACCTCTGTCATACACCCCTGCTCCACCTCCATTATTGTTGTTGTTGATGTTGTTGTTGTTACTATTGCTGTATTTGCTTCTGCTTTCGCTGTTGTCGTCGCCGCTGCTGCCTCCGCAGTTTCCACAGATGCAAATAGGCCCCCCTCCCCCTCCCCTTCCCACTCACCTGTGTTACCATAGCCAACTACACTCTCATCATCAACCTCCCACTCACCTGCATCATCAGTGGCATAATCCCTCTCTCCATCGCCTGCGGCACCCTCATCCTCTACCGGATAAGAGAGTGTCATCAGGTTAACCCAACTCTCTCCTCCCCCACCCTCATGCTCATCGCTCTCACGCACCACAACATCACAGCCCGTCTCACTTTCGGAATCCCAGCTCTCACACACAGCGCAGAGGTTTGTAAAAAGCGGAGCACATCGAAATCATCATCTTGCTCGCCTTCGGTATCCTCTGCAAGCAACAGCTCGTCTTCATTATGGAAGAGCATATCCTCTAGTGGAAGTGCTCCATGTTGTAGCTCCCGCTCCATCTCCATCCCACACCCAGATTGCTGTGCCACCTATTGATATTCGTCGTCGTACTTCACCGCTGGCGCTACCCCTGCCCGCACGTCATGGACGCACACGTCACCTACAGCAGATGCCACGTGGCAATCAAAGAGCCACGCGCTTCTGCCGGCCACGCGTGCAGGCCTAGCAGCCTGGGAGCACACCTCCCCAGGCGCTAGTCGAGCCGAGGGAACCAGGCCTACCGGTCCGTCGGGGTCAGGGCGCTAGCGTGAGCGCATCAATCCCCCCTGTGTGATGCGCACAAGCCGGGGTTGGGGCCAGTACCGGGGTGTGAGAGTGACTGATCCGATGGGGTAAAGATACCTAGAATTCGACTTATTTTCGGTAATCCATCATTACATAATAACACATAAGAACTCAAATAAAATACACATAACCAAAGGAATTACCCCAGGATAAGGGACTGCAATTTCTATGTACCAGCCCACCTGGCTAGTTCAGTCTATTTATTATTGAAAGAGTGTCAGAGGATGTGATGAGGCACAACATAGGGCCTCGCCACACCACTGTCGAAAATGCGATTTCCATAGTTTCTCTTCGCCACACAGTCTGTCGAAATTGGAGACTGGAAGAAAATTTGCAAGTTGTCACCATGGCCTGCTCAGGACAATGATAGCAATGCCCCTGTGGAGGGCTTGTACGGGGGAGGCTTGAGGAAGCTGGTCGGTCAGGGCACCTGCCACCCCACCCCTCTTTCAGATTGTACCTAAGAGCAGGCAAGTAACCTACCTAGCGCCCAGATTAAGGGCACACCAGGGTGACAGAGTAAACGTACCTAGCATGCCTAGGGCTGGCAAAAGCCAAGATCTGTGTATGGAAAGCCGGGATTGGAGCCAGTACCGGGGTGTGACAGTGACTGATCCGATGGGGTAAAGATACCTGCCCCGCAGGCTGAGTATTCACATGCGGACTTGAAAGGTGGTGGAGTCCGACAGTAGCCCTGACTGAATGATCGAAAAAACACCTATCAGAAACCCTTTATTTTTTCGTGGGGAGCCGGGCCCAGCGTCCCATTTGAAACAGAAACCTGGGCCGTCCATCAGCGAATATATTTCAAGGCAATCGCCCCTTTTTCAAAAAGCAAAATGCAAATGAAAAGAACGCACCCACAGGGATACATGGGGACAGCAGCTTTATTTTCATTTTTTATTTTTTACCTGTCGAATCTGGACAGGACCCCCTTTCAGGTCTTCTTTTTATTGTCATTGTAGTATACGTGGAACCCCACAGCAACCACATCCGTGATCAAGCCTCCAACGAGGGAACATGCAGGAGCTGCACCCACCAGCAGGTGCGATACCTGGTACAGCAGGTGGGTGATACCGGCCAGGGGTCAGCCGGTAGCAACAGGACCGAGCTTCTTCGATGGGCCAGTCGCTGTGCCTCCCTCCGGTCCCCTCCCCCTATAAACATCAGCAGTCTCTGCTCAATGCCACTCAGGGGGACCAACAGCCTAACTCTGGGTGGAGCTCGCCAAGCTTGCCCAGAAAGGTACATGAGGCCAATGGGGATTGAACCCAAGACCTTCTGAATGCCATTTGTGTGCCTGACCAACTGAGCTAGGCCGCCGGATAAGGGACTGCAATTTCTATGTACCAGCCCACCTGGCTAGTTCAGTCCATTTATTATTGAAAGAGTGTCAGAGGATGTGATGACGCACAACATAGGGCCGCGCCACACCACTGTCGAAAATGCGATTTTCGATAGTTTCTCTTCGCCACACAGTCTGTCGAAATTGGAGACTGGAAGAAAATTCGCTAGTTGTCGGAGACCTCCTGTAGAAAGTTGTTGAATCCCCAGCCTGCTACTCTGATGCTTTCGACAGCCCTCGGCTGCGCCATCTACTTCCCTTTTAAATTTGGTGAGTGGGGGTGAGGTCAGGATGGACTGATGTTTGTCGTACTCTTCGTCTTTTTCCATCTTGCAGTCACAAGTGCGTCCACTCTACAGTGCTGTGTGGCAAAAGGGGGGCAAACTGTCGAAGGGAGGCTGTCGAATTTATTCTGACAGCCGTCGATTTTTTTTGCCTTTCGACAGTGGTGTGGCGAGGCTCATACTGGTGATTTAGGAACAAACAAGACTCAGAAGAACCACCAGACAACTGACACAAAACAAAAAAAAAAGGACAACTGAGTTGGTCAATGACACACAGGAAAAAAAATGACAAAACAGGAGAAAACTTAGCAAAGTGATAACTACTGGGGCCAGCAAATTGTACACATCTCAAACTTTTAAGTTTGCTTTCCCGTTTTTGTTTTTTCCTCCCAAACCTCTGGTGGGGTGTCACTTACGGAGGTGATAAGAGCATCGTCGGTAAGTGGCCCCTGGTGCAAGAGCTGCATCTATTAGGGCCTCGTTCCACTACTCACCATCCGACACGCATGGCGGACGCGACTTGGTTCCACTGCATTGCCAATAGCCACGAAATGGAGGCTGTCAGAATTTGGGTGTGAAATCACTTGGCGATGTGCCGCCACGGCTTTCCATTTCCCCTGCCTGCAACGGCCCTTCGTGGAGGCTCTACTCCTCACCCCTCCGCGAAATGCTTTGTGTGGCCATTGCCCCTGACACRGCCATCCTGACAGTCGACCTGCGTTGTCCCCTAGTGTTGGCAAGTTTTAGCTGCACCTGGAGTGATTTCCAGTCCGAGTACATGGTGAAGAGAAGGCGGCCACCGTTCCATTAGGTCGCCATCCGCCACGGTCCGGGGAGCAGGCCGGGACAGCAACCACAGCGCCCGTGGCGGCGGCGATGTAATGGAACCAAGACCCTTTTTCCCCCAGAAAAATGCAGTTTTCGGCCTCGCCAAGTTTCGCCACTGTTTGTGGCGGATGGCGAGTAGTGGAACGAGGCCCTTAGTGGGGAGTGGCATTTGCTGGAAGCAGGTCCAGCGTCCCTATGTTGTACAAATGCTGAAACATGCCAGAGTCATCGGTATCTGTTCTGCACGATTGTAGTTATGGCTTTGTATTCTGTAGCGGGAAGCTTCATCGATCCCTTTTTATAGAACCAGCAGTGTGCGGTTCATCACCGCCAATCATTTCTGACCCAGGCATCAACCTATCAGATGCATAGGAATGGAAACGAGCCCCCAACTGACTTCACCCTTGCTGGGATCGTGCCGGCCAAGGCCCGGTCCCACCACCACTCTTGGAGAACAATTTGCCCAAGTTTTGAGGGTCACGATCATCTGTTGAAATCAACCTAGCATACCCGTTCTTCGGTTTCAGTACCCAGCGCAATGTGTAGGGGCATTCAGGCCAGGCCTTCAGAATCAGAGTTGCTGGTCACAAGGCACGCTAAGTCGTTTGCTCACATCGTGGGCATGTATATCTGCAAGATCGGCCTAAGGCCTAGGGTCATGCTTGAAAGCTTCACGGATAGGTTGATGAAAGATTTGGTCATGTCGAAAGAACCTCCCAAACGTTTTGCCAAAGGAACACCTATCACATCCCTGCACAGAAACTGCATATCTTCCTTAGAGATAAAATGATGTGCTGTGGCTTTGTTTTCCTTGGGCCTTGCTCCACTACTCTCGGTATGTGACCAGCAGGAGTACCTTTCAGTTATAACCAAAAAGATGCATTCTGCAGTTCTCACCTTTGGAGAGCAATCCACTGTGGGCCCATGTCTGAAAGTCCAGCCCACCTCACCTAATACATTAATCACGAATATACATGTACAGCATACTCATATACATCATGTATTTTGCGTAAACCTGGACAGAGCCTGTTGGTATTGCAATTGCCAGATTCCAGCCCTTCAAAATGTAGAATGTACCTGGAGGGGAAGCAAGCCTAGTGGATTCTGCTGGCATCCCTTTATCTATGGAATCCCTTTATCTGTATGCATTTTTTTTTAATTTGTCGGGGGTACCTAGGGCGCAGTCACGATTTCAGTTTAAAATCCAGGCATCCCTCGAATACAACACATCTTCACCGGACCCTAAAGCTAGGTGGTATACATTCACGATTTCCTCTCTTCGGCACAACATTCGCAAAATCGTGACTGAAGGGCATTTTCAAACTGAAACCATGACTTCGCCCTAGTTTTCCCTATTTTGTTTTTTCTGCTGGTGGTACTGATGAGGGTGATACAGGCATCCCCCAGTAGTACCCGCCCCACAGATGGCTCCTATCTATTGGTGGGGAGCTACACCTGCTGGAAGCCTGGTCCAGCGTCCCATCCAAAATATTGAAGTATGGGGCCATTACCCGGCTTCAGCTTCAGAATGTAGGCTGCCATAGAGTAAGGGCATCGTTAGACACTCCTCAGGGCATCCTCGAGCCCCGAGGATCAATCCTCGGGGAAATTTTGGAATTTTGGCGGGGGTGTTCCCTATCCTTGGGCAATGGCTCCAAGGGCGAATCCACCGGAACGTCCGGCGGCCAATTTTATATGATTATACGTGGCCGTGTGAGGTGTGTCCGTGGTGCGGTTTGGGATCCGCTCAAGAGGCATGTTGGTCCACAGGCAATGGGCATGAATACATGGGGCCTGCAAAAACAAAAAGGAAAAAAAAAGGTGGGAATGTTCCCGTCCAAAGTTCAAAATTTGAGTTCCGGTGAGAGACGACGGCTAGGCGGCACACAAGCATTTCCAGTGCGGTGGTTAGGCATTGGATATGTTGTTTTCTTCGCCATCCCTTTCACGCCATCTCCTTCTCATTCCCGTTGAGTGACGACAACGCTGCGCAGTGTGTGGTGGAAGGTGTGTCCGGCAAAGAGGTCTGTCGTTAGGTCGGCTCTTTGAGTGACAGCGCGTGGCAGCTTGGAGTGTGAGCTTCGGTGGGTGAAGACCTCCGTCGTGCCATCATCCACTCCAGTCGCCTGAGGACGCATAAAGTGCAGCCGACGTAGCACGTGCACGTGGACGCTGAGGACGCGCGTACACAGGGAAGGAGGCAGACTTGCGGGTGACCACGTCTTTTCGAAGTCCGTGGGGGGAGAGATGGGCATGCGGTGTTGACGTCCATTGAGAAGCAGCGGTATGGCGGCGGCGCTGGTCGTCGTTGGCCATTGTC